AGCCCTTAGCTATTAATTCCTGTAATAAATGCAAACTGGGTAAAAAATATTAAAAAATTAAATTTTTAATAGCCTAGAATCTAAAATTTACCAGAAAACATTTTTGTGCAATCAATATATTTCTATATTTCTAAAAACCATTCACCACAAAACATTTTTTTCAATCAGTATTTCAGTTCTATATTTCTAAAAACTATATTTGAACAAAATTATTAATGGGGTATGTAAATCTCGTTTATACAAATTTTTGTAACTTTATTTCCATCTTTAAACATTAATAAAAATATTTTTTTTACCCAGAGGCACGTTAATCTTGGAAAAATCGATTATAATAACCACAATGCTGACCTAGAAGTGTAACAATGTTTGGATCGTGGTTAGGACTCCAGCTAAATTTTAGTATTTTAATTTTTGTATCAGTGTAGCGGCTGGGAAGCAGAGAAACATACGGTACTGAGCGCCATGGTAAACAACAGCGCGATTGCTCACCCACAGACAAACACTCACACACCGTGCAGATCCTCCGGATCGGAGCATCCCCATCGTAGGCGTAGCATTCGCTCTCCATCTGTATCTGTATCTTTGTCTGCAGCTGCGGATGTATCTGTATCTGTAGTTGTGTCTATGCCGTGTTCGTTTTTTGTTTTGTCTAATTTTTAATCAACTTTTGCACGTTGGCCCAATCCATACATGGTTGCGATGGAAATCTCTCAGCGATGATGAGAACGCACTCGCAATTAGAAATAAGAATTTCAAAACAAAACCAAAAGTTATATATCGCCGCATTCTCTCGGCCATAATTTTGTGGGTGTGGGCTGTGTTGTTGGGTGGGTGGGTGTGTTAGCTGGTTAGGGACTCAAAAGCCATAAACGCAAACCGAAATTGTTAATAGAGCGCACAGTGCATTTATAGATTTGCCAGATTTTGCTTGGCAAAACTAAAATTAATTAAAAATGCCCCAACTCATTTGCCCATTAACATTTCCTTTGGCTTTTCTTTTTTTTGGCACATTCTCATTAATCACAAACGAGATCATTAAAATCCATTCAGTTAATGATCAAAACTCTTAATTGACTTATATGGTGATCTGGGAATTTTTAAAAATAATAACAAAAAAAGAAAAATGCGTTTGTTGTTTACACAACTCTCTCATTTTTGGAGAGTCCGTGTGTGGGTGGGGAAACTGTGTGTGAGATGGAAATCCAAGGGAAAGGCAAAAATAAATAAAATGAAAACCGTGCGCTCTCACGTTTTTGCAAGAGATTCTTTGACGCTTACGCGCAGAAACGTATCTAGAGTATGGAATTCTATTTTTAATTAAGAACTCACGAAATTCTTATATTTAATTTTAGATAAATATGTGATTGGCCAGTTATCGCAGGTGAGGAAGTGAAATTTCTTAACAGGTCTGATTGAGTACCCTGTTGGTTAATAAGGTGGCTATTCGATCAAGCAATTCAATAATCAATTCAAAGTAGAATTTTTTTTTGATGCACTTTATTAATATATTTCTGTGCCATTACCAAACTTAGGGACTAACCTAATCATTTATAATTTTGTATAAAAAAATATAGAATTTCCCCAATATATATACGTTCATTCACTCTATTTTCCCCACTATTAGCTGAGTAATCGGCAAACATTTTCACAACGCCTTGTTGGGCGCCATTCACTCGGTTTGCCATGACGCCTAGTTGGTCAGCAATAATATAAAAATACGTCTAAATATATGTTAACGACTGTGTATTTTGTTTTTTTTTTCAATTTTCGGCCCACATTAGTTGGCTAGCAGCTGATTGAATTGTGTTGGCCAGCAACAACACAAATCTGCCAATTTGATGATACTGCAACAAATGTGCTGCCTGAAAATATTATTTATATAAATCTGTGAAAGCCACATATACGAAATTTGGTTTGGGGCAGAGCCATCAGGGGCGGAGGCACCAGCCCGGCCAGAACTAAAAAGCGGCGAACAGGCCAGGTCGGAACATTGGGCCACCACCTTTTAAGGATGCGCCAAGCAACGGAGGAGAATGCCGACGACAGCTTGACGTTGGCGGCGTGCGCGCTTGTTCGCTTTTCTGACAACCAGCCGCATCGCCAGCAACTATGGGTACGGATATGAGTGCGGATATAAGCACGAACACGGAGGAAAATATCAGATAGTTTCCCAATTCTACTAGTTAAAATGGACTAAAACCTAAAAAATATGATCTCAAAAATGAGAGTCAAGAAAACAAATTTGTTATCTATTTAACGTTACTTACGTTCAATTGATTTTGTTTGGTGTACCTTCATTTTTAACAAAATACAAGTCTTTAAAGTAAACAATTCTTTATTCTCTAAATATAAATTTACTCACCAAAGTTTAATGCATTTTCATGCTAATATCCAGATGAAAACCATTTGTTTTTTCTTTATGTGCAGCAGCAAGCAAGACTGCATTCCACGATGTATTGCAATACTGTATTTTTAAATTGAATATTGTGCCAAGAAAATATTAATATATAAGCATATATTTATGAATCTTTTCGAACAAAATTTGGACATTTATAATATTTAATTTGTATTTAATGCTATTCATTTAATGCACATGTTTACTTGCACAGGGCGTATGTGTGATCAATAAAAATCAAACGCGTCCGCTAATTTTAGAATAGAAGTTTTACTACTTTAGTATAACTAGCCCTCAGGTGGTAAAACTTGTTGCATACTTTCTGGCAGAATCCGTATCTTCAAAAGAGTAAACGCTTTTTCTTTCTTCGAAGTCTAATCTCATTATGAATGTGAAACATAAATAATGCGAATTGCATATATTTTTTTCATTCTTTGTTGCAATACATTATTCTTCTTATCTGCCAAGTGTGACACGCTTGGCATATAATCAGTCTACAAAATATAAAAAAAAATATTTGGAAACATTAACATCCGGTTTGGGTCACATATATTAATCGCTCTTATCACCAGCCTATAAATACTGCTGACCAAAAGAGGGAGGTCTCAGTGCTTATTCAAATACAAAATGCTAAAGACCACATATATTTTACTTTTTGCTTTTATTGTTTACTTCACCTCAACGGAATGCCGTGAAGTTTCGCCACAGGATCAGTGCTATCCTTTGGTGACTTAGCCGTTGCTGGATCTTATGGCTGCGAGTCAGGGCCGGGATTCTGGTGAATCGGTTAAGAAAACCGTCCCGCAGAACTTCCAAAAGATTGGATCCCGGTACTTCTACTTCGAGGAAATCCATAAGAAGAATTGGTATGCTGCTGGAAATTCTTGCCGGCGGATGGGCGGCACTCTGGCCAGTATCCAGAGTGAGGAGGAGTTTACCGCCATCAAACAACATCCTAAACGCATCTCCAACGAGCACTACTGGCTAGACATTAACAACCTGGGCGACGAGGGTCATTATATGTCTTCCACAACCGGTCAGATTGCTCCGTTCTTGAAGTGGGCTTGGACAGAGCCAAATAATCTATACGGAGTAGAGCACTGCATTGATCTCTATGTGGAGCACATGTACGATAACAACTGCGCCAAAAATTATTATTTTATTTGTCAAGCAAATAATTAGTAATAATAGATTACAATAAAGTTTTTGAAATGCATAATGTGAATGAGAAAATGATTTCATAGTAAAATAAATCCAGCTTCCAAATATTTTCCACAAACTTATTAGGAACATATGCTATTCTTTTATTTAAATAAATAAGCTGAAAACGACGGAAATAAAAATAATGATTAAACATTTTTTTTATTCTGTCTAATGAAAATGTTTGATAATGAGCTTATAGATTATTTAACACTTTCACATTTTTGACCAATCTTTTCCTTTTAGATCGAAGGGCATATTTAACGTAGCACCATTCGACGGCAAAGACGCAGCTTGCCACCAGTAAAAGTCCGCCGGAAAAAGCGATGGCACCTCGAAATTGGTCGTAGGTAAGAGCCTTGAAAGGATCCTCGCGCACTCTGGTGATCTCCTCGTGAATCTTGCGCCGCATGTCGAGGTCGCGGGCCCACTTCTGCATATGTCCCGATTCGATGATGTGTTGGATCACCGGGTTGATCTGGTGCAGCAGATGGTACTTCTTGGGCAGCAGCATGGTCACTAGGTAGACATACAGGGATTCCCGTCGATCGAAGCAGTAGAGGCGATCTCGTTGGATCCGCGGATTGTAGAAGGAGTGCTGCCGTGAAACAGCCACTGCGATGTGTTCATTTTGAGCGGCATTATTGAGACAGTCCACCAAATTATAGCACATCTTGAACTTCTCGCGAATGTACTTGAATATCTGGAAATGGGTTAATAATAGTTTATATATTATTATGTCGGAAACATTATAGACATAGACATTGACCAGAACTGACTCACCTCCCCATCTTTGTTCAGGTGACGTACGTTCTCGGAGGTGCCCATGATGGTCATTCGATTGATGTATATCTCCTCCAGAGTCTGAATCTGGTAGGAACTACGGGGAGTGGTCAGCGTGCTGATCAGAAAACTCTGGTACGTGTTACTGAAGAAGAAGCCCATAAAAAAGAGAGCCCAAATAGTTGCCTCAAAGTCAGTGAAAAGTCCTGCACTCGAATGGACTGGTTGAGCAAGATACCCAGAACCCTTAGGCAAATGGGGAAATATCCATTCAGATTACTAAAACGGAAACCAGAAACACGTTGGGCCATTAAAACCACCAGAGAGCATGTAACCACAAAGAGTCCGAGCAGAAATCCCGCGTCAGCATTAAAAGTGGCCACGAAATTGAAGAAACCATGTCTGCGCTTTGCCCTTGCCACGCACCATGTCAACTCGTCCTGGTGATACGGGATGGAACTGGATACAAACTGGCTGATGCTGGGATCCTCATCAATTCCACCCACAATCATCTCGATTTCTCTGCAATTATTTATAATAATATTACAAAAATATAAATGAAATGCTAAAAAATGTATTCACAAGAAATAAAAGATTAAAAACAAAAATGAATACAATATAAACATAAAACTTTTCAGGAAATATCAAAAATATCATTGACTTTGAAAATTAACTAATATTTTGTTGTATTATTTTGTTTATTTAATTTAATACTTACCCATCGATCAGCTGCTGAAAAAGGTGGTACAAATTGCTGTTTTCGGTCTGCAGTTCGATGTTTACGTGCAAACGCTCGGCAATAGTCTGTACCATTTGGTACTCAATTCCACTCAACTTGAGCTTTTCACTGGTCTGGACATTGGTGTCAGGGATGGGATTGCCACCGTCCTCTTCCGGGTAACCATAGCTCTCGTCATCCGTTCCCCCATAACTGGGGGAAGTGTCGTTGTAGTCGTCCCCATCCGATTGAATGCCGTAGTAGATGTCCTCCACGGGTTCCTCTTCACTGTTTCGAAAAATATATGGTTCCCAAGGACGAAAGGATGCTGTTAGAGGACATCCACTGAGATCGCGAGGGAATTTATCCTCAAACTTTGCCCGATAGAATTCCTCGATAGTTACTTCCGGCTCTGAAGAGTTGGCATTTAAATTATTTTCAAGTTCCTCATTATCTGTTCCATTTTCAGTTGAACTTTCAGTTTTATCGTCGTTTGTTGTCTCTGCTGAAGTATCATATACATTTTCATTACTATCGTTAGACAGGGATTCTGAATAATTGGTATTTCTTTGATATTTCGTCTCGTTACTCAGTTCGTAATCTTGATGTTTAGAATCATCATTATCTTCTTGACTTATGATAACACTTTCTTCGCTTTCTTTTTTGCCTTCATTTTTTTCTGCACTTTTATTTGTTTGATTTCCATCATCGATATCTTCCTGTTCTTGACTTAAATCAGCCTCTTTATCATCTGAGTTTTCGTTAGCACTAACTTCTTTGCTTTTTTCTAGGCTCTTATTACCATATTCATTGTCTTTTTCTTCACTTTGTTCGGTTTCCTTATCATCGCTACCAGTTTCTCCACTTTCTCTGCTATTTTTTGAAACCTCATTTTCCTGATCTTTAGAATTTTCTTGACTGTTGACAGACTCTGCCCCGTTCTCCTGGCTTCCATCGCCTTCACCTTCGTCGTAGTCCTCGTCCTCATTATCCTTTTCATCGCCAGGATAGTCACAGGCATCCAGTAGCTCAACAGATATAACCCGATTTCCGCAATTGTTATCCGGGTGGTAGGGAAATACGGTCTTGCCATAGAAGAAATTGTTTTCTTCGCTCTGGCCAATGACATTCACGTTGAAGATCTTCTTGTTTATGAAGGTAAGGAGCAATTCAACCATTAGGTCAGTCATCTCCTCCTCCGTTTCTTCCAAACTGGCCAGATAAACGACGAATTGGGCCAGGGGATTCCAGTTGACCATGGTTTTCCAGTGCTCGATTATGTCGTCCAGATCTTCGTCCTCTAGACTCTCGACGATGAGGAAATAGCACTGCGGCTTCTCGTTCAACAGGACCTTGGATGACGAAGAACCCCCCTCCCTGGAGTTCGTTATCAAAAGGCTCCATGGATACTGTCCGTATGAGTTCATGCCTCTTAGTAACTGCTCCTGGATATTGTGTAACTGATAGTTTCGATTGAAGCAGAGCACTGAGCCGGAGAGTCCATCCCCGGAATCGAAATATTTCCGGAGCAAAGCCAGGATGCAAGCTTGCTGCCCTTTGTCCTCAGATTGAACCTTCATCAGATTGATTCCGAATCCGTGGACTCCGAACTGCAAACTCCAGAGGAGCAGCAAGGTCGCTAACCAAAACCGGTGCTCAGGTGTGGACATGCCGATAGCGACTGAATGTGCCACGCCCACAGACCACGCCCCTTCTGGGCGAGTAACGCACTCCCAGTCTCGAGGGACCGGCTCTGTTATTATACTGCAATTATGTTAATTTTTCAATCTCTGGACTGATTTGGCCCCTCAGCTGTGACTGTTGGGCATGAAATATATTTTCCCCCATTCCGCCTGGTTTGTTTGTTTAGGCCACGTTTTTTATGGCCTCGTCATAGCGCTGACGCTCCAATTGAATTGCGACAAGTCTTATCTGAAATCTTTTCGAGCCAATATGCTACTCTGCCTGCAACTCCAGTCAGTCCAACTCAGTGTTAGCATTTTAGCTATTTTGTTGCTGACTTATGGGCTAAATATTTATTAGAAATATTTTAAATAAGCCAAAGCCCATACTTCTACAATTCAAAATTGTTCAAGCATTTATGATTAATATGTAGTCTTTTATTAGCTGTTAATTTACTTTGTTTAAATGTTGTCTTTATTAATCTTATAGTCTATTTTATGCACAGAAACTCTTCACTTAATAGATAACTATTCTTAATTTAAAAAATTAAAGGTAAAAAACGTCCTTATTTTTTATATATTTTTTTTCTTATTTTTGTCGCTATTTTCTCTACGTTTTTTTTGGTACAAACTTGCCATTTTTCACCGGATAAATTCGAGCAGAGCCAGCCAAACTTAGGCCATTCCTTTACATGGTTGGTTAGAGCCTTACCCAGTTGACATTAAAGTTGAAGTCTCGCTACCAGCGGGAACAACAAGGCCTGACATTTTGGACTCATAAATAACATCGCACCGGATTGGAAAGAAAAAACAAATTGAATAAAGCGCGTGTGCTGAAAAGAAAAAACAAGATACACGACCACATGCAATGCAATCGCAAAATGTTGGTGGGCACTGAAATTTTGAATCCAGCAAATTGCCCTCATTTTTATTTATCTCTTGGCCGGCAACATATTTCATAAACGCATTTTTAACTGGATTTCATTGCGCAAATCGTAAAATTTAATTTCCATACATTGTATTGGTTTATTACCATTACATTTCGTACACATACATAGTTGCAAGATTTTTATTACCACCTTCAGATAATTAAGACAAACCAATAATTAATAGGAACTATTAAAAGTAAACAGACATCAAATTAGTCAATCAAGACTCAATTAATATAAGATTGCTGCTAGAACTATGTATATTAGTTCCAATTCAATTGAATAATTTTCCAATAAGGCAATCATTGAAGTTTGATTTTGTCCCAATGGTAGTAAAAGTTGAGCCAGTTTGTGCTCTGTGGTCATGAGCTACAAAATATGTTAAGTATGTTAAATATTCGAAATTCATTAACTATGCGAGTAAATCGAGTTGGTGACGGTTTTTGTTATGTCTGCCCGCCAAATCTTTAATTAATAATAAATTAAATAATTTGATATAGCTATGCATGCATCACAAAATAAAACGAAAAATCACTTGCCTAGTCAGTATGGTAATCGGTTGAAAACATATTTTGCCAAAGCACAAATGAAATATACTTGTTTTTTATTTTTGAATATATAAACGAATAAGTACAAAAGTAAATTATTTTTTCTTTTTTTTTACTCTTTTAACATAGCACTTAGCATTTTTTGTTGTGGTTTGATTGTGACTTATGAACTGGGCCAATTGTGTAGACGTTTTCTTAGCAATTCTAAATTTAACCTGTCAAAAGTCGTTATACTTTAAATCTACATAGAATTGTTTATACTTTAAAAATAACGATTTTATAAATATACTTTTTAGCTGATAAGGCGAAATAAAAGTTATCCTTAAATTTACCACTTTATATTTATGCTGCAATTTATGATGGTGCCCATAGCATGGAAACATTTGGGTGACTCATTTGAAAAAAGGTATTCGAATTTCGTTATGCCAGAAGCGTGTATTGTGGGCAATTTATTAGTTTGACGTTTGAAAACAAAGCCAGCATGCATGTCCAGCTCACTGCGACCCCTCTGTCTCCATTATATACTATATCGGATCAGTTCAGTCTGCTATACTTCGCATTGGCCACAGGCGTCAAAGTCGGAGTCAGTTGCAGCACTTTTGGCATGGTGCCGACCTTCGTCACGAGAATAGAAAAAATCATAAGTGCACCGAAAAAAAAGATAAAGATCAAGATCAAACTTGAATAGTTCGCAAAATCGTAATCTTTTAAAACGATATATTTAATCGGTTATTAACCTTTCATTTTATCTTAAAAAAAACCAATGAAAAAAACAGAAAAAAAAATTATAGCTTTTACAATTTCAAAAAGGTACCCATAAATAGTTTTAAGGTTCATTGTAACAGTGATTTTCATTAATAAAAAATATGACTTATTTTTTTTGTGTTTATATGGGTAACTAGTGGCCATATATACTCAAGACTGATTTATTGGGCAAATGGTCGAGTAATAATAACTCTCCAACCGCAGTATGGTGCTTGAATATTATTGGAGGATATTGATAATCCGGTGGTATTCACAATCGACGGAAAACGAAAGTATGCGCCACTCAAAATAATACAAAGCAGTTGTGGCTCTACCTTTGTGCCTGTCTGTGGGAAACCGGCTATTGACACACCTTCTGCGGAGGTGGAGCCTTCAAGCCACATTGGCCTAATTGGTTTTATGGTCTGCACTTATGGAAAATCAAAAGGCAAGCACTAAAGCGGACCCATTAAAAGCGCTTAAAATTAGTGCTGATCGCGATATTAGTTGATTGAAACTCCGGCACATAGAATGTTTAGCCTCAAAGGTCCCAGGCCCACCTAAATGGCCGAAATGATTACCAAATTCATCAAGACCTTGTCGCCGATGACAGAGCCGGTAATGAAACTGTCAACAGGCGAATAGAGCTGCCTCCGGTGCCTCAGATTGATTCAATTAAACTCACATTTGTGCGCACAGAATGCGCAAATGAAGCAATTGCACGTTGACGATGACAAGGCATTTGGAGAATGCTAGTGGACAGCCAGAAAGCCTCAATTTGAAACATATTTAAAGTTCATTTCGTAATGGACACAATAAGAGGAGATATGTTATTATTGCTTTAAGGTACATGGAGAACAAATTTATAATCATTTTAAAATTACCATACTTATACTTGGAGGTCTTTTATTTCAACTCAAGAACTAATGTTGGAATTATAAATGAAGACATTTTATGTTTAGTCCACTTGGTTGTTTATGTGCATTTCTATCAATTTTCAAATTTCTTTAAATATTAGTTTAATTTATTATGAAAGCTTTAGAGGAGGGACTTTCTATATTTAATTTGTAATTTATTTAAAAATTTATTGAACATATAGATTCAGGATGCTAAATTAAACTGAGTTAATTATACGTTTAACCACCATTGTTTTCATTAACTTATATATTTGTCAAGATAAGTCAAATTTTATAGACAAATAACTTATTCGGTTCAAGCCTTTCACTGTCTTTTAAAACCAGTTCAAAGAATTCTGAAAGTATTTTGTTGTTAAGTATATGATGTGATGTATATAGACCCTCTAATAAACGTATTCAGAATTTATCATGAGTGATTTTAAGACACAAAATTCTCGGCAATGACAGTTGCAAACCTATTTTTTTTTCAGTGTGTGGTCTTCAGGCGTCACAAGGCGTTGCGGCTATTAATCTTCAAGTGTTCATCGTCACCTGGAGCGAGTCATATGGAGCGAGTGGCCACAGCAGACCTGCCTCAGATTTTGTTTCTCCGCGGATTGGTTACTTTCGAAACGGCCAGCCAAACGGCTAATGATCATCGGTCCAGGGCGTTTGTTGTGAAAGGAAACTGTGAGGTTTGTGATAGTTTTGATAGCCGCGAATTGCCTCGGGACAGGCACACAGGCCACCTACGTTTCCGGCCGGCTTACATACATGTCGTAACATCGGATTCGGATTACTCGGTTATATCACTGCTAAGCATATCGGCTGACATTGGCCACAGCCTTGAACCGGCGTTCTTAGAACCGGTACTACATAAGTGCTTATTTAGATCGTAACTTGGCATTTGCGTCGGTCCAAGTGTTCTCCGAAAATACGCCAATTAAACAGAGTGAGTGAAACAAATGAAAGCCGATAACAAAGTGAATGTCGAACGGGCTCGGCCCAAAAGCAGGGAATTTACACGTGCTAATTAGAGTAATCATCCCATGATAATGCCCCAAAAGTCAGCACCCATCCACGCATTGGTTATTTCGAGCAAGTAAACAAATTCCATGTGTCACAATGCAAACAAATACAGATCCAAGGCAGTTAATGCTAACTTGGCTAATTCTGCCCGCAAACCAGTTTCAATCTGGCTGCTGCAGTCACCTTTTTTGCATAACCCCTTTTAAGTGGGGCTTTTCACGTTTTTTGGGTTAGCTGAACGAACGAAAATCGTCGGCAGAGAACATTTTGGGATTTGGATTTTCAATTGGAGACCGAAATTCAAATCGCTCGGAGTACTTTCCATTTTCAATTGGGAGCAAACATGTTGGCTCCCTCAAAAGAGCCGCCTGTTAAACTCTTGGGCTTTCACTGGCTCCAATATTGGTCAAATGTAAATGGGTTCCTGCATGCATGTTATGAAACTCGATTCCAGTTCAGCCCAGTTGGACAACTCCGATGGAAATCCAGTCTGTGTGCTAAGCTCTAGCACCTGTCCTGCACCAACAACTAGTTATATGAAAGGGTATAAATTTAAATAATTTTAATTAAATATAGTCAACAGAAGGCGGAATATAAATCTCAGAGGCAATTGGTTGGGCAATCAATGAAAATTGAAATGCAGCTTTGATGAAAATCCAGCTAGTATGCTATTAAAATATACATATTTATACTTTAAGAAGGCGGAATATAAATCTTCTACATGGTTGGACAATTATTTATCAATTGCAGGGCTCTGAAAGTTGAAATATAGTATGCAGGCTTTTATATTCTCAGTTCACTCCATTGAAAACATTTCACATACTCAACAGAAGGTGGAATAT